ACTAAAACTATATGACTCTGTTCCTCTTGCCTCCCCCTGTTTCCCCCAACTCTTCCTGCCCCCCCTCCACCATCTGACTCTCAGTTCATTCTAGTCGGGACTCAGTGTGTCATTGTTTGCCTCTTTTTGTTGCCAGGCTTCATTTAGCCATTGTTAATCACTTTGTTGGCCTCCCAGCGCCATTCAGTCAGTTTCTGATGAGCACAGTACTATTACAGGGTAAAGAAAAGCCATCATAAAGTAGCACAGAGCTTCATTGACTCCATAATCGCTGTGAGATACAAAGGAGATGATTTGATCTCGTTTTCTGGTGCTTTTCTTTTTCTTCACTCCTCCTTTAATTTCCGTCCATGGGATTCCTCATTGGGATGGGCAGTTTGACACTCATTAAACAGGAATGAAGTTGCAAGTAGGGTGTGTGTGTACTGCAAGTGTGTTGTTGGTGTTGTTAGATTCTTTAGCTCCTTGAAAGGTTGGACCTTCTCTATGGGGTAGATTAAAAGGTTCCTGCTGTTCACTAATTGCACATACACACACTTACACATACACTTGTCCCCTCAGTCGCTGCACTGATTAATTCAGATGAGATGAAAGCCATCTGCTAACATACACAAAGGGAGTGTTTCCAGTGTGTCTGCTTTGTCAACCCCAGTGCTGTGTCATGTGTTGGCCCATGTTTGCTTTTATTAGTGATCCCAGATGTGTGTGTGTGTGTGTGTGTGTGTGTGTGTGTGTGTGTGTGTGTGTGTGTGTGTGTGTGTGTGTGTGTGTGTGTGTGTGTGTGTGTGTGTGTGTTTGTGTATTCACTGTCATGACTCCCACATCTGAGGGAGTTCCATCACAGTTTAGTACTGTTTATGGTCCACAGAGCTAATGCTGGCAAACACACAACGGTGTCCACAACATTAACCTTGTTAATATTAATCTGTTCTTGGTCTTCAACATAAAAACAAACCGTTTTTGTTGCAGGTTAAGTTTAAGGATTTATGAAATTGAAGGTTTTGATTTTTTCATTATTAGAATTAGCTTATGAACCTGAACCGAACATTTCGGCTTCATTCAGTTTACTAAAAAATAAATTACGTATATTACTTTTAAACTGGAAAACCAAATCGTGTTTTTTCATTCACTTTTTAAAGATGACAAATATTTAAAACCAGTGTAAAATTAAAATACTTAATTGTGGCTTTAATATTACCTAGTTTCCTTCTTGAACTTATGTTTAAAAATAGAACTGACAGTGAATACCTGGTATTTGGTTGGTGGGGGGTCTGAGTGTCAGTCTCTAGTTAAACCACCAGCAAGAATATTTATACAAGTGGCGGCAATTAGTGTGTGATTGAGAGGTATGTACGTCTGTGTGTGAGTGTGTGCACAGGTGTGTGTGGGTTTTTAACATTTTGTCTTTCAAAACAGCTAAAGTGGGTGTGCGAGAGTACGTTTCGGCTCACCCTGCACCACATAAGGGGACACCATGCTGGTAATAGGAAGTGGAGCTATGAGGCAAATGAAAGGCTGTTCTGTATCTGAAGTCACCTTGAACCTAATGGATTTGAATACTACATAAATAAGGATCCAATTTAAAATGTATGGAAATTGTTTCCAGTACTTACCTTTAGCCATAGACAGTTTGTTTTTTATTTTTATATATTTCAAGAATCCCCAATGAAGGTCTTTCATCAAAGTTACACTTTGTTTTATTTTTTATTCATTTATTTTTCCGTGTGAAGGTTGCCCCCAGCTTCTTACTTAAAAATCATTGAAATTGATAATCTGTATCTAAATTGAAATGTGTGCTATTTTTTTTTTCTAAGGCGGCATTCAATGTTCATGTTACAACTTTCATTAGCATAATTTATGTAATATACATTGAAAGTTTGTTGAAAGACACATCTACTGTAATGTACCCTTTAATATAAATGCAAGTCTTTGTGTGTGAAAAACCTTTGCATTTGTATGAAAGCATGCGTTTCCTGCACATACGAATGGATGTTTCAAACATTTGGGCAGCGGCTTGTCCTGATGACAAATCTGTTTTGCAGCTAGAATCCAGCTTAGCCTTTAGAAGGTGATGACAAAAAATATGACTTTATCTCTTCCAATCTCTTACACTTTCTTTCAATCTCTGAAATGACGTTATCGCTATCGCATCCAACTCAAACTTACAGTGTTGAAATACTCTTAGACTGAATGATTATTCTTGTGCCAAAACAAAATACAAATGAATTTGAATTTCTTGTTTATGTGCAGTTGGAATATACACTTTCATGCAATTTTTCAAGTTAACCATGAACCATATTCCAATGACAGAACAGGCTGGATTCATCTGGGATTAGTTTAACCTTTTAACATGAACCCATATTACACAGCCTACAGGGATTGCATGACAAGGTATTATGTTATATAGATATAATATCACTGGACAGTGTTAAGCTTTTTTTCTACTGTTCTCCAGCTGTATTGGTGGGTCGTATTACAGGCGAATAGTGACCCTGAAATGTGGGTCTGTAACAGGATCTACATTCATGGTCAGATTTGACCTTAATCACCGTACATGCACCACTGAGGGCACAGGAAGAGTGATGAGACCGTATGTTGTGCGTCAACGTGGACTGACCCAGTCTGCTTCACATAAAGCTGACAGAGCAGAATGGACAGACGAAGGCTGACCTTTGACCTCTGCTTCCCCCCAACCTGCACTAACCATGGCAACACTTAAAAGAAGCCATCTCAACTTCCTTGCCTTTTCTCTCTCACACTTTCCTTGTTTTTTTACAGCTTATTGTTGCCATGAATGTAACGTTTCCTCCCATCTTAATGACAAAGTGACCTTGTGTTCCCAATTCAACAGGAAAGGCCGGCCGTGTGCCCTAGATTCACAATATTTGATGATGTTCACTCACATTGGCCTCTTTTTATTTATTAAGTTGATTTAAAGCCACTCACTGCCACTCTGATTAATTGATGAGGAAAGAAGGAGGCTAAACAGATTACATTAGATTCAAACTCGCAAGGTTTCATTTAGATAGTTGTTTGCAAAAAGCTATCAGGCTGCCATAGGGATGATATTTAAAGTGGACCTATCCTGCTATATTTGAAACATATATTGTAGGGCCATACCTCTATAAAACATGTCTGTGACGTTTTTTTTTCAAAATACCAAACAGATCATGCATTTGAGCCATGCCTCATTTCGCTCTATTTGCTCTTCTTTAGCCCTGTTTTTGCAGGGGCTGATTCTGTGATTACAGCACCACCTACAGGCCTGGCATATGTACTACAGCGTCTCGAGCGCTTTCGAGCGGTCTCTTATTCCCCTGATAGGTGGAGAGTTGCCCATATAGGCGGAGCACCCCTTTTCTGACTTTTCAAATATATAAATAAAATAATTATCAGATCCGTTGCAGCCCCGTTTGTAGAGATTTGGGTATGGAGGAAAAGAGAGAGGGTTGTGTTTTCTGACACTTGGTGAGTTCCCTGACACACTGGGGACACATATTCATGTAGAAAAGACGACCCCATCCCTGCGGATGTCTCTGAGGGTCTCAGGCCCCCTCACAGGCGAGTCATTGAGACCATGTGTTTCTGCAGGGCTACACGCAGGGAGGAAAGTCAGCATTTAATGTTCACATATTTCCAGGTGTTTGTTTTGCCCTCAAGTTCAAATATCTTTAGTTTTGACCGATCAACATGTTAATGATCCAAAACAGAAATATGAACGTTTTAGTGTAAAATGATCTCTCATCAATTTATATAATGATATCCTCCTCCTCCTCCTCCTCTTCCTCCTCCTCTCCTTCAGAGGAGAGTCACTCCCTGGATGAGACTATTTATAAAAACAGGCCAAGCAAGGGACAAAGATAGCTCAGGAAATGGGTCTGTGTAATCCCTGGACACACACAGACGCGCGCGCGCACACACACACAAAGTTCGTTTTTCTCTGGTGGTTTGAACAACCTGTATGCTAACAACAATGTGCTAACAACAGTGTGCTAACAACAACATGTGTGCTAACAACAGCGTGCTAACAACAGCGTGCTAATAACAGCGTGCTAACTACAGCGTGTTAACTACTGTGTGCTAACAACAGCGTGCTAACAACAGCGTGCTAACAACAGCGTGTTAACTACTGTGTGCTAACAACAGTGTGCTAACAACAGCGTGCTAACAACAGCGTGCTAACAACAGCGTGTTAACTACTGTGTGCTAACAACAGTGTGCTAACAACAGCGTGTTAACTACTGTGTGCTAACAACAGTGTGCTAACTACAGCGTGCTAACTACTGCGTGCTAACAACAGCGTGCTAACAACAGCGTGCTAACTACAGCGTGCTAACTACTGCGTGCTAACAACAGTGTGCTAACAACAGCATTTTAACTACAGCGTGCTAACAACAGCGTGCTAACAACAGTGTGCTGTGCGTAAGCAAAGTAACTGTCGGAGCCAAAATGCTTAGTAAGCCTGTATTCATTGTTTCATTATTCTCATAATAATAAATCTTCCTCCTCCGCCTCCTCTTCCTCCTCTTCCTCCTCCTCCTCTTCCTCCTCTTCCCAACAGACTCTAAAGATGGCCGCTCTTAATTGATTCCAGGTTTCTGGTCTATGATTAGAGACTCATTAGAGGTTGTTACCTCGTTAACCTTTCTAATTATACACACACCTCTAACACTGCAGTACAAATACACACCTCTAACACTGCAGTATAAATACACACCTCTAACACTGCAGTACAAATACACACCTCTAACACTGCAGTACAAATACACACCTCTAACACTGCAGTACAAATACACACCTCTAACACTGCAGTACAAATACACACCTCTAACACTGCAGTA